TAACACATAAAGGGATCACACACTGATTTACAGAGACTTTGAGTGTAAATGTGACTTTTTGGCAGGCTGTCCTGACAACTTAGATAACTGTTAACTCTGGTGTTAATAATTTAATAATGTGTTTGATTTTCAGGTTTCTGCTTATTTAAGTAAAATACTCTGTTTTCAGTAAAAGTCCTGCATTCAATATGTTACTTAAGTAAAAGTTCAGAAGTATTAGCATCAAAATATTCTTAAAGTACTCATTATGCAGAATGGCACATTTCACCTTCATGTATAATTTATTGATGGATTATACTCATTTTAACTACTTCATATGTTTATAATTTGCATTAGTGCAGGGTAGAATGTGAATTTTCCTCTGAGGATCAATCTTCCAATTATGTTGCATTTTGTTGTGTTAATCTGATTCCGAACAGTAACTTGTATCTAGATATCAAATCAATATAGTGGTACAATATTTACTTCTAAAATGTAGTGAAGTCAAAGCATAAAGTGGCAGAAGACTTTGGTCTTCTGAAGTACAGATATCCCTGATCTGTACTTGATTACTATCCACCTGTGTGATGTTCAGCCTGGTCCAAGAGGAAAAGTTAGAGGCTCATCACAGTCATTAGGATTCATCGTCTGGAGACCATGAGTTCAAGGTTTCAGGGTCAAACCACTGAAGACTTGCTGAGAAAGAGACAGACTGGCATTGCTCTGGAGCCACATGCCTGCAGTTGCATATGGAAATACTAGACATGGTTAATGATGTGGCTCAACTCACAGCTTCCTGATGTGTTTGCAACCAACTTCCTCTTTTCAAATTGTATTGTTTTGTTTGATGTAGGGGTGGCATGGTAGAGCGGTGTTTAGCACTGTCACCTCACAGCAATAAGGTTCTGGGTTTGAGCCTTTCTGTGTGGAGTCTGCATGTTCTCCCCGTGCTTGTGTGGGTTCTCTCCAGTCCAAAGACATGCAGCTTAGGTTGACTGGCGACTCCAACTTGCCCGTAGGAGTGATTGTGTGTGGTTGTTTGTCTACATGTCCAGGGTGGACCCCGCCTCTCACCCAGTGTCAGCTGGGATTGGCTCCAACCTCCCCCCGTGACCCTCGTTAGGATAAGTGGGATAGATAATGGATGTTTGATGCAGGTTTGCTTGTAATAAATCTTAAACCCATGAGCATATGATGTTATTTTTGTGATTAAGTGGTGAGTGTGCTGAACTGCTGCTTTAGACGCCCATTATCAAACTTTTTCCTTGTGTTGGCAACTGAGTTTTGTCTTTAGTCTTTGTTTGCATTAGCTCCAATCAAAGTTTTGTGCTTTCAGCAACCAGAGAGATTTAGTAATCTGTGTGTAACTGTTACTGTGAGTAAGATAAGGAGAAACACTAAGTGCATTACCAAGTGTTATCACAGTTCAGCTTAAAAAAATAACTGATAACAGAGAACTGCTGTGGTCGGAGGAGGAGACAAAATGCTGATAAGTATTTGGGAGGACAAGGACATGGAAACAGGTGATATCAGTGACTGATTATCAGGAATTTACACATTAATGAAACTATTCCAGTTGTTGTTATTGTCCAGTGAAAAAAAAGCAGCTCCAGTAGTTTGCATTTTGGATAATCAGTGACTTCTGTCTGCGTACTGAGTGTGTGTGTGTGTGTGTGTGTGTGTGGTGACTTAAGCAGTGATACCATCGCAGAGGAAGTGGCAGGGCTATCTGGTGAAGTTGGTTTCCTGTTGTGGTTTCTCACTTCTGCTGCTGATGTCAAACAAGTTCAGCAACAACTTGCTTTTTCTCACCAGTACCAAGTAAAAGTACCAATACACCAATGCAGAAGTACTCTATTACAACTACAATACCTGCTTTGCAACTCAAACCTTCTTCTTACATTATGTAAGTTATTTAAAATATTTTTGTTGTAGAAATCTGCTCCAAAACTTGTCATATTGTGGAGAGGTGCTCGTCGAAGGCTCCTGTGACCCAGACTTGTTGAACAACCCCGGCAGCAGTGCAGAGATATTAGCTTCTAAAAGGTTTGGGTGGGATTGACCTCTCTGACCAATCAGAGATTTTCAGTTATTTATGCTTTTGATCAGTAATTGTTGATGGATTCTCATTTATTGTAATTTCATAACAATAAATAACTGAAATCTGGGCAGAGCGTGGCGAATCGTAATGGAGCACAGCGGCACAGCGAGAGGGAGCACTGGGATTGATTTGGTGTTTCCCACTAGTGCTACCTTAGGTTACATACTGTAGCTTAAAGTAAAAGTACTGTATCAGCAAAATGTGCATAAAGTATCAAAAGCAAAGACAATCTGCCAATGCGACTGATATTTATAAGTTATATTATTAATATTGATGCAACAAAGTGTGAGAATAGTTTAATTGTTGTAGTTGTAGCTGCCAGTTTAACTTTTTTTTAATACCCTACAGTTAGCTGGCTTAGTTCAACATAAATCTGTGATGAATATATTGACAAGAAATAAAAATAAATTCTAAAATACAGATTTATAGTCTTACTTCATTTTATTTTTCTCTAATGTTTTATGTGGGTGGCTGTGGCTCATGAGGTAGGGCAGTCGTCTCCTAACCAACAAGTTGGTGGTTTGACTCCTGGTCTCCCTGCATGCCTAAGTGTCCCTGAGTAAGACACTGAACCCCGAATTGCTCCTGGTGGCTTGACTAGCACCGATGCGTGGCAGCCTGTCGTCATTGGGGTGTGAATGGTGTATGATGTCCCTGTAAAGCGCTTTGGCCAGTGCAACACACTGTGAGAAAGCGCCATGTACCATGTGAACTCTAGGCTCATTTGAACACTTATTTAGATGAAACCATCAAAAGTAGGTAGAGGAAAAATAACTCTGCTAGCAGCACATGTGATAAAGGGCTCAAACTAGACACTGCTCCTCCCTGAGGGATCACATGCAGAAAAGGTTGGAAATCACAGGTTTTAACAATGTGTTTAATAAATGTAGCATTTGTTTAATATAAAAGTTTCAGCAGTAAAGTAACTATAGGCATTAGAATAATGTAGTGAAATGATCCTTCTGAAATAAGATGAACATTAAGATACATTTAGAGTGTTTTGTGTTTGTTTAACATTTTTCTGCAATCCACTTCAGTCATTACTCACACATGATGTCAGTGCAGCGCTCCTCCGATGGAGGACCAACACCCACCAATTCAGGCCCAGTGACTAATGTTTATAAGAAGCTGCTTCTGTTCTGTGCTCTGTCTGGAAGGTGGACATGACTAACAGCTCCGCTGTATCACGGCTATTTTTGTAGATGTGATCACCGCCACATTCCTGACATTTCACATGTGTCTGCCTGCTATCTGAAGACCTCTCAGAGTCCCTGGCAGTTGCGTGTTAAAAAAGGGCTGGTGTTTACCGTATATAGATGCAGCTCATTTACACACACATGTTCCATAACCACTACTGGCCTAACCCTGACCCTACTCTAACCTAAAAAAAAAGTCATCACCCTAAAATTCAATGAGCTGCATGGTCTTACTATAGTTATGAGGACACTAATGGCCACAATACATTCCCTAGCTCCTTACATTAACCTTAGCCAGCAACTAAATGTCCCTAATCTGAACCCAAGGCTTAACCCTCAGACAGCGTATAGAATAGATGAAGAGAGAGTGAGCGAGAGAGAGAGAGAGGGAATACCACTGAAAAATCAGCTGTGAGAAAAATGTGTGTTGTGTGTGGACAGAGGGACCTGGCAGTGTTGTGTGGCATTCAGCACCCGCTGGCTAAGACTGAATCAGGAGACAATACACAGAAAGCACAAAGAGTGCCCTTCTGCCGATTATGGTGAAAAAACCATTTCTGATATGTGCACGTCGATGAAACTGTAGGAATGTTATACATAAAGTTCTGAAAGGTCGATGTACAGTAAACACCAAAAGACAGCATTAAAGCAGAAACATGTTTAATTATTTGTTGCAATGAGCTTTGTCCTGGCTGCAGTTATTGACCTGAGCATAACACAATAAAATGTCATTAGAATTTATAAAATCATCAACCTATGTCTTAAAAGTATAAGATAATACACATCAGTGTTATTATAAAGTATGTAGTTATACCCCAAAAGGAAAATAAAGTACTGACAGCACCATTTAGACTTTGCTCTGCCTTTTCATTTTTTTATTGAATTTTCTTGTGGTCAGTTTTGTAGAGGTGGTAAATAACTACAGTTTTAAAGTATTTGTACTTTACTGGAGTATTTTCATTTTATCTTCTTTTTACTTTTACTCCACTACATTTTGGAGGGAAATATTGTACTTTTTTACTCATTACAATTATTTGACGGCTTTAATTACTTTGCATATTCAGATTCTTAATGCAAAATATAATCCAACAATACATGATAATGTATTACTATGGATTAACCACCTTCCAGCACATAAAGAGGTTAAAATTGCAGCTGTGCTGTTGTAGTTCCACATCACCATAAAGTAACACTGATCTCAGGTCCTTATTTCTTATTCAATACAAGAATCTTTCCTTTGCCATATTTTTCACCTTTGAAATGTTTTCCTAGTGGAGTATTTGTACTTTTGTAGTGTTAAAGTAGACACCACCTGAGATAGACCACGACCTTGGTGAATGAGAATCTCCACAGACTTGTACTTTTGAACTTGTATGTACATTTCAGAGCATGTACTTGGTACTTCAACTTGAAGTGGTACTTATATTTATAGTGGAGCACTTTTAGGCAAGCAACTGCACTTTTACCTGAGTATTGGGTTTGTGTTCTTTGATAATCTCTGCACATTTTGTAGGTAATAGACATTAGTAATGAAAAGTAAAGGCGTTGGAAGCTTAAACAGAAATGAAGGTCTTAACTGACACATATTGACGTTACTACTTCCTCCTCATTTAGCATGAATGTTAACCCTATATATCAGAGTGCATTTTGTAAAGTAGCGTCATGAATCACATTTATTGGGCCTCAAGTAGTTAACTATTGTGCGCATCCACGGATATACATCCAGAGTGCATCGGGAGCGCGCAGAGTCGTACCGGGAACGCGAAGCAGAAGCAGAAACAGAGCAGGTCGGTCGGTGAACAGCAGTTACAGACCGACAAAGTCCGGGCGGTACGACACCAGACCTGAACCTTTGGTGTCCGCGTCGCCGTTGTTTTCTCCTGTGGACTATTTTTACGGGAAGTTTTATTCTGCAGTTCATACAGACGGAGAGGGTCCGAAACGGTGTCCACCATGTCGGGGAGCAGGGAAGAGGAGAGGAGGAAATTGGCCGACATCATCAACCACTGGAACGCCAACCGGCTCGACCTGTTCGAGATCAGCCGACCCACAGAGGTAGGAGACCAGCCTGGCGTGGCAGGAGAGGCCGCGGACTCGTAGGCCCTCTCCTGGGTGCTCGTCTGATTGTAGAGCTACAACTGGCAGACACTTGTGTTGGAAATCTTGAAAGTCAAGCTGTTGTGGGCAGCGTGGTTTACTCGGTGGCAAGTCCCCGTACGTGCACGGAGAGCACAAGTACCAAACTCCATTGGAAAAACCTGGCGATTCACCATGCCGTAATATACTCATACAGCATGACGCCTTTAACATTCCACAAATGTTTGGGCTTTCAAGGCGACTAAGCGGGCAAATTAATTATTTGTCCACTTGCCGGCACTAGGTTTAAGCTTAATTTGTCTTAATTTATTAAAGAAACACTTCACACAACTACCTACTATGGGTTTGGGTAGCCCACACACCTGAGTGTTTGGGAAGTAATTGGAATAACTGACAGTTTACACAACCATTTGTTCTTTGTGTGTAATTAATACGCCGAACTTGAAGAGAATACCAATAATTTTATTGAATATCTTGTGATATGTTCTTGTAAGTGAGTATATGTGTACAATCGGAGCGGCGACACTGAACTGCCAGATTTTTTAACAGAGTTTTGTTTGTTATTTCAAGAGGGAACGGCACGTACAGGGGCTAGCTAGCTAGTTAGCAAGCACATTACCTGTAGAACAAACATAAGCGCTGTCATTTTGTTAAATAGGAGACAAAGCTAATTAGTGGTATCCCCGTATAACACACGAATGGCATTAAAAGGAGAAACCTAAGCTGTGATAATATAACCTAGCTATGTCAATGTTAGCTGTGTTTATTGGTCGTGTGTAGTGTCTGACAAATGGCTGACAAAGCCCAGTGAGGCTGTTTGATATGCAGGACAAATTGGTAAAAGCTTAAAGCATTAGCAACAAGCTGGGTGTAAATTCTTACACCAGGTATGGCATTCAAATCACTGATGCTACTAGCATACAGCCATAACAAACCCTTTCTGTCAGACCATGTCACGTCGTCCTGCATTGTGTTTACAGTAGCTAGCTGGATGAGAGCTGCTTGTTTGACCAGCAATAATTTGACCCTGGAACATATTCAGGAGCTGTGCTGTAATTAAATCGCCCATCTAATCTCAGGTTTTGGTGGTTGTTTACTAATAACATGACAGCATAAGAAACTCCTCCCTGCAGGCTTCAGCTAGGTAGCTATCTACCCGACAGCAGCAAGGGCTTAGTGATGTTTATAGTCCCCAAGAAATGAATAAATATCTGTCTGACCTCACCCCTGTGTGATGCATCTCATGGCTAAGTAGGTTTGATTTATAGCTATGACTGATTCTGTCAGCTACAGTGTTTTTAGGTGTGCACTCAACCACACCACCTCTCCTTGGATAAGGGTGCAGAGGGCCCACAGGGTCTCTCTGTCCTCTTCCTGAGCTGATTGAAATTTTAGGATTGAAGCTGGCCAGCCGCCGGCCGGGGTTTGCGCCCTGCACACACATTTTCTACATTCTGTGAGGAATGATTAACCCAGGCCAGAGGTTCACTTGGCTGTAATTGTCTCACTGTATGAAGAGCAGTGCTTCAGTCCTGTTGCTGAAGACTGCTCAGAGTTTAGTCCAGTAGAAGATGAGTAAATGTAAGCAGATGCATGGCCTTCCTCGTCATGCCACACCCTCCCCATATGTCAGCTGGTAGAGCCCCCAAGCTGCACAAGTGTCCTTCACACTGTCTAGACTGCTCTTGAGTGTAGCTGTGCATAAAATATTCTGTTCTTGAAATGAAACTTTAGTGTGATATATGATTGATTTAAATCTGATTTACCACACACAACGCACATATCTGATAACTGAAGAGATGTTTAATTTCAAACCAAACTGCCACTAGAGCAGTGAGATAATTCGTGTAATTAGATTAGCCACAGATGGTTGAGTAGTCTGGAGGAAAGGTTCTCAAACATTTTAATCTTGCAAACCCAAACTGATGAAGTCCTGCTGTGGGACTTATGGCGGAGCTCATTATAACGTAACAGGTACTCAAGTCACATGGGGGCTTATTTTTGCAGAACTCAGTAAACAGAGTTTGTTATGCAGCACAGTAGACGCAGTCACACCAACAGTTTGTTTTATTCAGATAAAGCGATTGAAGGAAAGTTTACTTTGCTTCACTTTTGTATTTAAGTTCTAAGTTCACTGATGAATTATAACTGAACAAGAGCATAAAATGAAAAGATTATAGGACATAGGTTTGGGGGAGACTTTAGTAGTCGGCATGGGGGTGCCACACATGTCACCTAAAAATGATATCCTCAGTCCTGGTTGAAGAGTTTCAGAGCGCAGCATTTGCAGAAAGAGTTTGAATGTTGACCACTGATAAGCAGCCATTCTTTTAGCTTGGAAGCTGTGAATAGGAGAAAAGGTGTTGCCAAGATTGTCCCAAATATAACCCATGATATGGAAACAAGTGCAGTAGATCCAAAGTGAACTTATAGGAGCCGAGGGGAACAATTGAAAAGCAGAATTTTATTTTTAAAAGTGGTTTTCATACATTTGGAACCAGGTCCGGTTTATGAATTTTCTTATCCAGTCACATATGTAGGGCTTTTACTTTTGGTACATACTGTGAAGCCTCATATCTAAAACATTAACAGTCCATGCTGACACACAGTGTACAGAACAAGTAGACCTTGTGTACAGTGCTAGGAATAATACAAGATTAATGAATGATAGATTGTAGATGAAGTGCATTACCGTACAGTTGTGCTCTTCAGCATTCTGTCACTGTGCACTCAGCCTCTATGTATCCAGCAATACAATTATGCATAAGGAAGTGGCTGGGACAGTCTTGTATGTAGAACGATTTTAGTCAGTAATAATGACATTTATCATTATAATCAGGCAGGTCTGATGTATATTATGCTATTTTCCTCAACAGTGACAGTTTGAAGCTGTAGTTAAATGGTGGGTCCACCTCCTCTGTAAGAGAATCGTGTAATTCAGCCACATCTCTTATCAGGCTTTGACTTGAGGCAAGATAAGTTCTGTTGAACTGTGACTTCAGCTGCTTTACTAGTCCTGAATTCTGACCAAAAGGATTTTTCCTGTTTTCCTCAGCAACTCGATGCTGAAAAGCAGCTTTTTTTTGTTCAGCCAGTTCTCCATCGATAGTGGCAGGGGCACGGCCTTTGCTTCACCAAATCAGCTCCACTTGACACTGACCTCTCAATATCTTTGTAGGGTGCCAAATACCATCAGCTCCAGCAGCCACTGTCCACATGACATAACAGTGAGTCTGAAGACCACCTGGCTTTGCCTGGAGTTGCAGGCTGCTGTGGCAGAATGGCACGAGTCTCATGTAAGGGTGTAACAGCTCATGTAACCTCCCTGTGTATGACTGTGCTGCACAAGAGTCTGAATTGGCATGGAGGATGATGTCGCACATCTTTTCCCTTCATTTAACAGACAGTTGGAAGTCTGAATTTAAGGAAGATTAAGGAATGCAGCTTATAAAGGATGCTGAAAAAACTTTGAAAAGATCAACTCGACTAGGTTTTTAGGCCGAAGATGTTTCACCTCTTATAAAGGATGTACCTTTTTTTTTCCAGAAGACTGCATGAAGTGGTGAAAAAGTTAAAATCACATGTCTGATTATGATTCTCAGTGTGTTCCTCAGCTCCACTGTGCATTGCTAGGCTGTGTAGAATGACAATGTGATGATAGGACATTCCCAGTAGCACATCCTTACTGAAGGACTTTCACTGAACAGTAGCACAAGCAGCTCCATATTCTTCCCTATGTGAAAACAGTAGAATGAGAGGCAGACAGCAGCTTTTATACGGCGAGCTGGTCCTTTCTTCTTCTTTCTTTCTTTGCTCCTCATCGGGGTTTTTGCTCAACTTATAATACACTGGACAACAAACCAAAAATACAGCAATTGCCTGTGCCACAAAATGACTGAGGGCAACTCTAACCATACGAAAGCTTAGGCGATCTGTGTAGTGCGTTCTGTCTGAATTTTAGGTGAAAGGCGGAAAGCTCATATCCACCTTCTTTACCATGGGAAATACAGTGTGTAAGCAGACTCGCCGTGACACCAACGACCACTCCCTCCCTTTTTTCCTTCTGCACAGGAAGCAGGAAACTAGACAGGAAGTATGTGTTGTGTGGCGATAGTGGGTTTCCTATGGTCTAGGTTGAATGTTTTCTTAGTGGTTTCAGATTTTCTTTTATTTTGCCAGATATAGGGTTCTAGGGTTCCAGACAAACTCTTTCCACCAGTGGTGACAATACTTTGGCTTACAAGGCTACACTCAGTTGGCAAGTTAATTAGGTACATCTAGCTAAACTAATGCACCCTAGTACAAATGTTCTACAAGGAAATCCTACTTCATGAAGGTGGTAATGACCACTTTCTGTTCAGTGTCAGAGATGTGCTGATTTCCACTATATGAACATTCTTGGAGGCTGTAGTTTGTGCTGCTGTTGAACTGAAATGCATCATGCAGAGACCTGATTCAGCTATTTATCCCAGCCTCACTGATATAAATATGATGGACCCAATAATAAAAAAGAGCTGTCAGTGTATCAGTCAGTTGTTGTCCTCTACAAAATGTTAGAAAAAAGTACATATTTCCCACAGTCCAAGCTGATTGCTTTGAATGTTGCTTTGCTCAGTTGGTTGACAAAGAAAGCTTCAGATTGTGACATTTTTTTCACTGAGATAAACTAATTGATAATCAGCTAATTTTTGCAGCTCTTGCATATAGATGAGTCTGGGTTATTATATTGTGCAGCAAGGTCATATTTAGATTTATGGAATTGCCCACTGTACCTCTGAGTTTTGCTCGTTGACCACCATGAGAGGTCAAATTGGATCTAAGCAGATGCAGCAGGTTATTGTCTGGAGAATTCACACTGAACCAGTGGGCATGTTGATAACATTCTAGCATGCGTCTGGCCCAAAAGTCACACATCTGATGATGAAGATAGTCTTTTACATGAAGACGCCGACGAAAAT